GTATTCTCTCAGTGGCTGGCTTGCTCCCTGAAGGCTACAACAAGAAGACTCAGTGCTCCTTAAACATGCTATGGAATTGCAAGTTGTAATTGGAGATTTCCAAAGGACAAGTGTAAAAATGAAACACTGCTAATACCGATTTTTTTTTTAATTTTGTGCTTTAAGGAAAGAAAAAGTCGGTAAAGATATTTTTAAACTTAGTTTGAACATCACCTTTCCTGAAGTCCCATAATGTGACTGCTATTTATTTTGCTCTATGGGGTTTTTTTTATTTTTCTTTGTTCGTTTGTTTTTGTGGGGATTTTTTTGTTCCTGTTTTCGCTCCCACCCCCCCCCCAAAAAAAAAAAAAAACAACCAAAAAACACAGGCAAATCTTTTCTCATCTGGAAAGTACGATAATGCTTATTCCTTGTCGCATTGTGATATCTCTGACATGTTTACCTTGCAACAAATCTAGGGTGTCATTTGAGTAGAATGCAGGGCAGATGCCAAGGTACCAGTCTGGGAGGGAACTCGGAGCCTTTTCTCGGGAGGAATAGAAAGCCAGAAATCCCCGATTTCCCCTGCCTTCAGGAACGGGCTAAGAAGTGACTGTTCCCTTTCCCTCCACATTCACCCCTGCTTTTGCAGCTCTGCCCCCTGCTCCCGTCCGCCAGGGCACATCACCCGCGAAACGGGGCGCACCATTGTCTCCTCCTGAATGGCAGATTACAGGGTTTGGCCTTTTGGCCATTAAATAGCAGTGGCTTTATTTTTATTTTAGCCACACAACACCAGGGAAAAAGAGGTAATTGGATTAAATTGATGTTCTTCCTTCTGGGATTCGGCAAAGCCCACAAACGCCTCCTTAAAGTGATAGAATATCGGGTCGTTTCCAGGACGCGTCTTTCCAAGGCGCTTTTCTCCCGGCACAAAGGCCCGGGAGCCCATCACCCTGCGCCGGGCCAAGTGTGCCCGAGAAGGGACAGCGGAGGGCTAGGGCGCTCTGCTTGAGAGGGCAAGTGCTTCTGCAGGGCAGAGAACCGCCGGCTGCACAAACCCCCCTTCTGTAAACACAAAGAAAGGGGGCCTGGGGAATAGAAACCCAAATCCACTTGTAATCGTACAAGAGAATCGGGCGTAATTACTTGAGCAACCTAGATGAAGATTGATGAGGCTTTAAAGCGGCGTTTCGGATCGATCACCCTGCCCTTTGGAGCCTCCAGCCGGGCTTCCCCGGCTCGGATCGGCTCCTTTCCCACCGCCAAGGGAGGGAGAGAAGATGGAGGCGAGACTGGGAGAGCAGCAAGGCAAGCCCGGCGCATGTGATTCCGATCAGCTGACTGGGGTCAAGAGGCTACCTCGGTTTATTAGGAGATGGAAAACAATAAAATGAAAGGAAATAGAGTTTGTATCAATATTATCCCGTCCGCCACGCTGGGCTGCTGAAAGCTGTCACTGAAACTGTGCGTTTCAGCTTCCCCCTGTACGCACAGCAATCCCTGCCTTCCTCTTTATTTATTTTGCAGCGTAAATGACAAAATATTGAGCAATAAGGGCTCAAATTGGGTGTTACAGTAAAGTAAAGCATTAACAACATGACAGTTAGATGCGCCGATACAGGAGTAATTTGGGCTAAGTGAGTAATTTGAAGTGCTGCCTGCGAGAGCTGGTAGAGCAGTGTGCGGGCAGCGCTGGGGGAGGAGGAGAGGGCGCATCCCAGGCGCTGGCCCCCGTGCAGCCGCAGCCCCGGCCCCGGCTCGGCCGCCCCAGCGCCCGCACGGCGCTGCTGGAGGGGCGAGCGGCCGGAAAGGCAGCGGGAGGCTCACGGCTCTCTGCCCTCTGAGCAGGGGTGCCCTTATTGCAAGGGACATTTTTAGCTGCGTGTAACAGCCAAACCCTGTTTGGTACCTCCTGAGGTGGTCAGTTGGCCAGTTTGTAGAAGGCGCATCAGTCAGGTGGCGTACCCAGCTTCTCAGTACTGGAGTTTTATTATTTAGGTGTCAGATGCGTGTTTGTACACGTATGTGGCTCTGTGTGTTTATGTATGTATATACAAATTATCCAACAGGCTTTCGTGGTTTAATCTAGAAGAATATTTAATACATAATATTTTCTTCGAAGCAAGTGAGCTTCCTAAGCACGGCCACTGTCAGCTTTAACAGAAGATGACATTGATATTGAAGATAAGATGGTGAAAAAAGCGATCCTCTTGTCTTTTGGATTAAAGAAGGGTTGTTTTGATTTTTGTTTTTCTGAGTTAAAATCTAACAATTTGTGTGGAGAAGGCTGCCTCTTACAATAGGTTTTCCCCATCCCATCTTTTCAATGCCAGTGAAAGCGTCTCGTTAAGGAATATATTTAAGCGAAGTATTGTTGTAGTAATTTTAAAAGGATAAGCGGCAGCGAGTTGAAACAAAAATTATCGTGCCGTAAATGTATTTAACGATGCCAGCCTTTATGTGCATGGGATATTGAAATAGGTGACCAAAAAAAAGAAAAAAAATGGGAAAAAAACCAAAACCCAAACAACTAAACAAACCCCCTGGTATTTGGCGTTACTTGTCCGAGTTGAGGTCTGGATCCAGACTCAAAAATAATGTCCCCAGGGCTCGCAGGATCAGTGCGGCGGGCAGGGGCTGCGGGCTGCCCTGCGCTGCGCCCCCGGCCCGGCCCGGCCGCCGCGGGGACCCCGGGCTGCCGGATCCAGGCGGGGTGGAACGAGCCGCCGCTATCGCACATGAACAGTGATAGCGTTAACGAGGAGCAAAAGGGCATGAAAAGAGAGGGGACCTTCTTCTAAGGGGCAGCTATTTTTCACCCTAACCCCTCTGAATTTCGCTGCTGTGATTTATCTCGCAACCCCGGAGCTCACAAACTCGCCTGTGGCCCGGCCGCGGAGTTCAAAGCGCTGGCCGCGGGCAGGAGGGGAACGAACACGACGTTTACAAACTGGGTTTACGAGGGGGCTCGCCGGGCGCTGGCTCGGCGGAGGGAAGGGCCACCGGGATGGGCCGGCCGGGCGCCTCCAACCTGACGCCGCTGCCCTTGCCTTGCAGGCCCCGTGGTGCTCAGCACGCCGGCACAGCTCATCGCCCCCGTGGTGGTGGCCAAGGGGACGCTCTCCATCACCACCACAGAGATCTACTTCGAGGTGGATGAGGATGACTCGGCCTTCAAGAAGATCGACCCCAAGGTGAGTGCGGCGTGCGGGCGGGCGGCGCGGTCCCGGTTCCCGTCCCTGATCCCGGCACACGTGCGCCGGGGCCGCCCCCTCATTCCAAGCTCCGCTCCTGTCTGCCGCCTTTCGCTGCATTAAAAAAAAAAAAAAAAAAAAAAAAAAAAAAAAAGCGCAATGTATTAATGATGTTAAATCCTCTATTACGGCAGCGTACGCGTTTTCCAGCAGCCTTTCTCGCGGTGGCTTTGTATGAACGTGGTCAGATTTAGTAGTTAAGCCAATTGCTCTGAAATCCCTGGAGGGAGCAGCAGTCCTAGCCCGCAGCCTTCCCGAGACACAGCGGAGGGTTTTAAGCCTTCCGAGGTTCTCGGAGAATCCCGTTATTTCAAAAACGTTAGTTTCTACGTAAGAAAATACGGCGCATTTTGTAAACACTTTGTAACTGCTGAAATGAAAGTTAATGCTTGTTTTCTGGGTGAGAAAAGAAAATGGGGGAGGGGGGAACAGACATGTACCGAGGAGTTGGTTCCTGGGAAAGCTCTGTTTTTTTCTGAAGTCATTTACTACTACCAATTCCCCAGCGCCGCCCCACTTCCCCCTCCCTTCATGAAAACCTCCAGCGGAGCCGCACCGAGCGGGGAGGGGTGCGTGGCTTGCGCGGAAACCTTTGCGTGGCTTTGTCCCCGCGGGAGCGGCGCGGGGGATGCCACGCGGGGCAGGAGGGTTGGACAGAAGGGACGTGTCCGACAGGGCGCTCCTCTCGTCTGCATGTATTTCTATTCTTATAGCTCTTGCTTTATTCCTTTGCTATTGTTGGAAATGTTGGAAGAGAGGAAATAGGAGAGGTACTTTTACAAAGACCTTGGGGCTGGGGTTTTTAAATGCAGAAATATTATAAATAGTCTGCAAGAAAACTCCTCGTCTGAATATGTTTGCAATGAAGTGATTTCTCTTGGGTGAATAATTTGTCAAACTCGGAACTTTCTTCGCAGTGCCGGGGTAAAAAGTTTCTGTCAGAATCTCTGGGTATAACAGTTTCGCTAAAGTGCACCCACTGGAAATAGCTGCTAGTGGGTGTCACACAGGAGATCGGCCTCTTTCAGCACTTGTTGACTATTAGGATCCTAGTCAAAATCCGTGTTGTTAATTTGCGTTTTGGTTTAAAAGCCATTTTAAAGAAATGCACCGTGAGAGGGACCAGGCAGTGCGGTACAGACGGGCGGCTTTGGATTGCGTGCAGTTTTGTAAGCACACACATGTTATTCCCTCTGACTGCCCTGGGAGCTGAGAGGCTTGATGTCTGGGAGTGGAGCTGGCAATCTTATCACATTCGTAACCGATTTGTAGGTCAGAAGTAATATTGTTGTTCACTTTATTGGTGCTGGCTCTCACCTATAAATTTTATTTTCTGCTTTATTAGTACCTGCACCAAATTGCTAGTTGTATCAGGATCACTGCTTGCAAAAAACACTGCTTCACAGATACCTTGTGTTTCCTCGGCTTTGTTCAAAAGCCAGCAGAAACACAACAGCACCGTATAATAAACCCTTCAAAACAGACTTTTTTCCTGACGGCTGAAAAAGTGTAACTGTATTAATAAGTACGCTGGTGTCTGACAGCTGCTGATGGTGATCTGGAGCTAAATTCCAATATGCTTGTACAACCAATATTTCCCTATTCTACAAAACTATTCCAAACGCCAAGTCAGGGCTCTGCCCTTAAGTTTTCTGCTTTACAGCACTTAAGCAACTATCCACAGAAAGGAAAAATCCGAAAAACATAGCTGCTTCTTGTTTTTCAAGTGAAAAACTTGATCCGATATTGAAACGCTTACCCATATGCATTTTACTTCATTTATTAGCTTGTAATTAAATAAATCAGCAACAGAAATTAAAATCTAAATCACAAAAAGTAATTATCCAGTGTATTTCAAGTGCATTTTCAAATATATAATTCCAATATTCAAGCGTTATTATATAAGCAGAATCCAAATTTCTTTTGAATATATTTAAATAACATTTCAAGTATATTTATGGAATGTTAGAAATAGAACAAGCAATATATATGAAACGAAAAATGTAAACTTGTTAAGTTCAGACACTTCAAAAGACAATTAACAAAAGTACCGTGATAAAATCTACCTTTTTAAATGGTATCTTCTTTTTAGCAGAAAATGTCCTTGAAGTATCCAAAATGGCAATTTAACTTCTGTTCACCAAATCACAAAACACCAACATCCACAATTTCAAAGACAATGTGAGATCACAATATTTGATACAAATTAAAAGGTACATTAGGGTTTGTTCAGGTGGCATATCCAAATAGCTTTTACTCACAGAAGGTTTACATAAAAATACCGGGTTTTGTTATAATCCGTTGGTACCGTTTTTAGGCAGAATGGTCACAATCAAATTACGGCCAATTTTCATTTCCAGGTAACACACTTTCATTTTTTTCTTTCTTCTTCTTTTTTTTTTCTTTCTTTCTTTTTGTTTTTCCCCCACGGGGAACTGCAAAACTGTGACGAAGAGGAAAGATGCTTGCTGTTCTCATTTGCTTTTCTTTGTGAAGAGCTTAAGCTATATTCCTTTTTAAAAGAGAATATTATTTGCATTATCAAGTGGAAATATATGACTTTTCAAACAGGCATCTTAAACTTCATAGGGAAATTAGCAGATTTATCGGTCAGGCCGGTTTTATAGTTACCCTCTAAAGTTTCTCCAAACTTTTCGGGTTGGTAAGTATTTCCCTAGCCAGTCGCCACGTTTGTTTGGCCGCGTTTTCCAGGGCCGAGTGAGGTTTGCCCTGAAAGAGGTCTAAGTTGGGCAAGAAGTAGTGCGGGCACCTCCTGCACTGGAGGCACGAGATGAGCTGCAGTAAAATCCCGTTGAGCCGGTCCCCCAGGCACGACTCGTCCCAGTCCGACTCGCGGGGATGCTTTTCGCATTCGTAGGAAACCAGAGTCTTCATGTGATAATTATTCAGGGGCTGGCCCGGCAGCTCCAGGTGACGGTCCCGTAAGGTTTTGAGGATGGAGAGGCATTTCTTCCTGCAGCCGCCCATCTGCAGTCTGTTCTCAGCTTCCGCGAACTGCAGCACCCAGGCATCGCTCTCGGCCGAGCTCTGCTTGCCGGCCAGAGAGTGGCACTCCTTGGACAAGAGGTTGAAGCCTTCCGCCTTGACCTCCGCCACCCGGTTGGGTCCCGGCCAGGGGATGTGGGGAAGCGGCCAGTGCGCAGCACTCCGCGGCCAGATCCCCGTGCACTTGAACGCTGGAGTGATCTGCACGACGTACCGATCCCTGATCCTCAGCTTCACCTCGCTGGTGTCCGCCACCATCTTTACCACGTCTCTGTAACTGCACTTATCCACGGCTTGAGCCACCAGAGTCTGGAATCTGGACCGGATTTTGCGAGCGGAGAGGTAGCCAGATGCCGTGATGAACTCCACCCAGAGGGACATGCTCCTCTTGCGCCCGTCGCTTAACTTTAACACAGCGCAGCCCGGCAAGGAGCCGTCGTCCACGAAGTTGAAAACCCCCATTTGGTTCAGATACAGCACGACTTCAAACTCCGTGGGGGAGATGACTTCCAGCCCCTCGTAGCGATTGTCCATCTCGTTCAAGGAACTGATGAAGCGAGGCTCCTGCACCTCCACCTCCTTCAGCACGTCCGACACCACTTTGCAGACTTCTCGGATCGTTTTGGCGATTGCAGCTTTCCTGGCTTGGCATTTCTCATTGTAGTATTTATTCAAATGATACACCAGCTTGGCCTGGGCCGCGATCATGTTGGGGCAGAGATCCGGGTTGTATACCGGAGTCTCGCAATAGGCTGTGGGATCCAATGCGGCTGCTATGGCTGGAGCCAACTTCAGAGGAGAAACAGGCTGCCGCACTCTGAAATGTAACAAATGTTTTTCAAAATGCGCCGGGGCTGCTGCTCCTCAGATGCTCTCTTCCTGCTTTTTTAGATCAGCCGTCTTGAAGTGTGTGTGGCGGGGGGGTGAAGGGAGGGGGAGCGGGCGGGGGACTGGAGGGGGCGATATTTTTCCTTCCCCTTTTTTTAAAGGGTCCGTGAGTGAGAGGAAAGCATCGAGAGCAGCACCTTTCCCAGCAGCAAGAAAAAACAAAAGTTGCACTGAGACACAGCGAGGGTTCCAGTAGTCAAAATAATAAAACCTCTTCGTATTTATTTATGTTTTCCCGTAGTAATCACCGTGTGTATGCAGGGTGGTTAATCAGATGATGGAAAAAAGTGCCGTGTGTGTATGTCAGAAGAAGCTGGCTGTTGGTTTGTATAAGAGCCCAGATGCACTCGTGTGGAAATTATAAAGGCAGGGCCAGGCAGGCGGGCGGCCAATCGCCACTGGGCTCGTCACTGCAGCCTCTTTCAGCTCGAACCCGGCTAATTAATCCCTCTCTAGGAGATAGATATGTATACACAGCCACACCACACACGCTCACGCAGGCACATATAGAAGGTTACCGGCTAGAAAGCCGCCCCGGTCCTCTGTACACAGGGAAATCAAGAGAAATCGCTCTCCTTTGGGTGTAACTTGAAGGGTATTGACGTTTCGAGAGGACTTGGCAAAACTGTGCCGCTCCGTACTGAATCCCTGCATGCCTCCTCATGGCCGGGACGTGAATGCAGGTGTATTAATGGGCATCCATCAACTAGGGAGCTACAGACCGGGCTCGCTCCGGCAGGAGCACAGGCGTAAATTCATTAACCCCCACTCGGCGTCACATCACGCTGTCCTTTTCTTCCCGATAGTTGTCTGTAACTGCAAGCGAGAAGTAGGTTTGGATTTTTTTTTCTCTCGTGAACCGGCCAGTGAACAAGGCAGCGGATTCACGGCAAATTTAGTGTTCTTTGGAATAAAATATTGCTCAGAAGTCCACGATTTGTATTGTTTTAAAGGATCTTGTGACGGGCTCTAATCGATTTTGAGGTTTAATGCATTTCGGCATTGTCTCTGCCTTGCTTTTTGTATTTGTACCTTATGAAGGGAGAATCAATCGCTAAACATATCTGTCAGGTCTTTTTCACGTTCCTTCCAAAAATCAAGTAGCAGATACAGACGGTAAATCTCCTTTGCCAATTCCTAGCGTCGTTTTTATACTCTGTATTGCTCTCCGATATGTTGTGAGGAGTGGATGTTCGGCTGCTTTTCGAGACGCACTATAAGTACCTATTAATTTCAAACCTGGAGGATTTATCGTACAGCGAGCTGTGCTAGCAAGCTGCGCTTAGTAAATGTGCACACGGGAGGCACGCTAGCGACTGCAAACATGCTGGCTTGCATGTCTGACAGTTTGGGGTTTCGCCTGTGTGATGTGTAATTAGCAAATTTCGCCTTCGGTACTTTAGGTGTTGGTAATCGGGACATTTATTTGCAAATAAGCTGGAGTGGTAAACTCTTCTGCTTCACAGCATTTACTGAGCTTCACTTCAAGAGAGCCCTACATTTATATATATATATATATATATATATATATATAAAATATATATATATATGAATGGAAAAAAAAAAAAACACCAAAGCTTTTGATCGCTTGGAATCTTTAAACTACTGACCCATTACCTTTTCCTAAAGTAACTGTCATCAGTCGCTGAGGAGAAGTCATACCACAAAGAACATTTCACGACATTTATTCAGCGTACGAATGCGACCAACTTTATTGCACATAGCGGAGAATTTGTGACCGTGCGCTTGGCTCCCTCGGTCTAGCGGTTATATGGGTGTTCCTGTGCCGCTCCCGAGGAGGAAGCCGACCGGAATCCTTTCCTGCTCATGAGTTGAGCAGGACTGGTGCTGTCGCTGAAAAACTGCAGGTGACCGGTGGTCCCGAAGCAGCTTACCTCTTCTCGGCCGCAGCCGGGAGAAGGGAGATCACTTTCTGGCTCTTTGGGGCGGAGAGGAGGCAGTTTCCTCCCGGGTTTTCTCCCTCCTCCGCTCAGTTTCCCGGCCGGGACACGCG